CTGCAGCGCAAGCACAATGTTATGACGTCATGCACGTTGAGTTTAGATTTGTGAAAATTTTACAAATTTGCACTCCAAGTGTTGTCATTGTGTTAGAGAGAGTAAATATCATGAATAAATTTGACATTAAACATAATCCAAGTTGAAGTGTTACATCATTTTCAGCCCCTTTTTGTCATGTGTATTTAGTAGCAGGCCACAGTGACAAAGCCCGTGCAGAATAATGTTGTATTTTAATTCCACAGCAGAGAAAGTTATGTAGTCTCTGTAAGTGAGTATAGGACAAAAGTAATTGTACTGGTATTGGTTATCGACCAAATAAGTTTTAACATATTGGCATATTGGATATCGACCAAAAATCCAATATCGTGCATTCCTACTAATAATAAAAGAACGTATTCACTATCTGCGCCTCTCTTTAACTTTTGTGATATAAAGAATTATAAAGAAGAAAAAAGCATTTGATTAATAACTGGAAAATTCAGAAATCTTTAATAGTCTGTGTGACATTCACTTCTCAACCTTTTTGTTAATTTTATCAAATAATTAAGTCACTGGAGAGGCTCCCAATTTCATCCTACAAAGATGTTCTTAAATCCAAAGGTCGCAAATTAAACCACAAGACTGAAGCAAGGAAGAAAGTTACTCAAACCTTTCCCAACGAAACAGATTTGGATTCTTCTAGAACTATTTTATTGAAACCGTCTTTAAAGAAAGAGAAGCTCACAGAAGCATCATTTATAGTTTAGCTGTTTGCTTCTCTCGGGGTTGGATTGTGGGACAGATGTCACACCTGCTCATTAAATCATGTGTAACTGCAGTTTGTGTGTGATTTTCAAAACCAACCACAGCTTTTTTATGCTCAGAGGAAGAAGCTGTCATGAAATCATCTTGTCTGTCGTGAAACAGCCTTTCAGAGTCACCACGTCTAATTACTGATGTCTCGTTAACAGGGGTGAGTCGGCTGGCTCCTCCCCCAGCTCCTCCAGCACGCTCCCCCACCACAGAACTGTCCACCCGCATTCCTCCTCCACCACCTCCTCCTCCTCTGCCCCCGTTCAGCCTCAGGAACGGACACCTGCACAGTCTGGGTAAGACTGGAGGTTTATATTAAAAACAGAGGGTGACGTACACGTGAAAACATATCATTAGAGAAGGTGTAGGACATTTTGTCCATGTGGACAAAGTTGGACATTAGAAGGGAGCCATCAACCATTTTAGATGAATCAATGCATTAGGGATTTTATATTAAATAAAACAATGAAAATGGTTGTCGCCATGTGATAAGGTTAAATTTATTCTTTCAATTTTTCATGTATTTTGGTTTTTCTCATCACACACACAGCTTTTTTTTTTTTTAATAAAACGTAACAATATCAAATATCATGATATTAAAAGAAACAAAAGACAGCTAATACACAAAATCATATTCAACACATCCTGATGCATGCTCAATAATCCCAGTAGAAAAATATTCAGTAGGTTTCAAATTTATCCTAAACAAATTCAATATTCATATTCATACTGAATACGTTGAAACATATTCAACACATTTTAGTCCCAGATTTTAAAACATTTAGAGGTTCAACTCCTTAAAAAAAAAAACAGGAAAAAAAACAATTTAAAGAATAAAAAACATGCTTAAATAGGAGTAAAGGAGAGCGCTGACAGTATTTTAAAAAGTATTACATATACCGGTACACAGCAGGATATATACTACGACAGAGTATTAGGGCCACGTTAATAATTAAAAAAATAATAAAAACTTATATTACGAGAAAAAAAGTCATGATATTATGAGAATAAAGTTGTAATATTACGATGATAAAGTCCTTCGACAATAAAAGCAAAATACGAGAATAAAGTCATAATATTACTAGAATGAAGTCGTACAAAAATAAAGTTGAAATATTATGAGAATAAAGTTGTAGTATTACGTACAATGGAGCTTT